TTTGTATTTATGTCACTTTCATCTCTTACAGTCAACTAGCAAAGCATGCCATGGGTGTGGTTCCTTGAAAAGCCAGCACAGTGAATCTTAAGGTGGATTACTTTGAAGCCAGAAATTATACACAGGCAAATGGAAATAGGAAAATCCCACCCTAATTCTAGCACTATTCTTGCTTCTCTTCTGAAATGCTGGACTCCTGCCAAGTCTATGAACATTTCATGGCAAACACTGAGTCACAGGCAAGACAGAAACCCTTGCAAGACAGAAAAAGGAGGCAGGAGAGATGCACACTCCTTGCATTTAGGAACCTGGAGAGGAGAAGCAGGACAGAATGTGTTAATGCACATTTCAGACCGAGGGTGCCTGGGCAGGGAGGCACGTTACAGTATCAAGGCAGCAACTCCAGACTGTGTACAGGCATCGTCCTTTGGAGGGAATTGTTTCCCTTTTCTTCCTTCTAGCAAGTTCAGGAAACAATCTCTGACTGCACTTCTGTTATCAAACACCAGGTGGATCTTTCATTGTAGGAAGACTTTGGGGATGCCACTGTTTAGGGCCTGTTGTAACAAACAGTGCCTAGAAGCATTGTGTAACCTCTATTCTCTAGAAACTTCAGATTCCTTCCTTCACATCTGCCAATGCCTTATGTTTTTGAGAAAGTTGCTCAAATTTGTGTTTCAATTTTCTTATCTTTAAAATTAGGAAAGAACATTTCAGGATACTGTGAGGTTACATTACTGTTTTGACATGGTATTGCCACTTGCAGAGATGATATCAGAAATTTGCAAAGAACTGAGCTTTGAAAGAAAGGATGGCTGATGCTCTGAACTTTAGGTCACACATATCAATCCCATAACCATCTTGTAAAAATTGCAATATATACCACCTTTGAGAAAGGAATTTCACTATGCAACTACAAAATACCAGCTAAAGCACAGAATACAAAGCAAACATCACAAAAACTTACAAGCATTAAAAGAAATCCCATTTTAAACAATAGCACTGGGTGAAATTTAAATAAAGACACCAAACAAGATATCAAGTCTCAAATGAACAGCAGAAATATTAATAATTGATGCTTTTTAGGTGATAAATAGAGAAGGAAATTAATAGAAAACCAATATTTCATAGTTATAAGTTTTATTTTCCAAAATGTAAACCTCACTAACCATGCATACAAGTTAAGACAATATTTTACAGTTTTTAATTTTCTTCCTTTTTAAATTTTTTTCCTTTTATAGTTGCATAGGACATTATCACAATATATAACTATGCAATACAAAATACATAAAAAGTTACAGCAGAGCAAGAATAGATGAACATATAACTGTACAACTGTAATACTTCAATGTAGTGATTTAAAGAGTTGAAAAGTGAGCCACAGAAGCTTTCATGTGCTGCTGACAAGCCTGTACAAGTGAGGGTGACACTGGCAGCTTTACAGCTCACTGCAGCTGGAAGTTTAGCTGTGAACACGTGCACGCTCCCCCACTCGGGCATGTGCTGCTGGAAAAGCACATGTGCACGCACACACATGTCCCCCACATGCACAATGTACACAAGTAAATGCACCTGTAGCCAGAGATGAAACTCAACCACAAATCTCCAACAGGTTCAAAAAGTCCAAATGCAATGGCATGTGGATCTAGGAATTTGGTTCAGGTCCATCACTAGTTATAATGAAATGGATACCTATTTTTGCTCTGTGGACATCCCTTCATTAGTCAGTGTGTAGTATAGACACACTGCTGTGTATTTATGTATACACACATACACTATACAATATACACATATATATCTATTTATATATATATGTGCATATGCTTATATAAATCCATATATATAAATAAATATATATTTATAAAAACCTACACCAGTGGATGGGCTTTTGCATTCTATATTCTGGCTTATGGGATAAACAAGAATAATTTGGGTATTTTATTCTGCCTAAGGCTATAGCTCTTATCCCCGAGAGTTACAAATACCAATGTTCATCATACCATTCACTGACATAGACTAGATGTTAGCACCTAATGCACAAACAGATGGTGTGATGAAGTAAAAGAGCACCTGAAAGTTAGTTTGTAGGCATGACCTGATGAAATTAGTAAATCTAATGGCAATGAAAAGGCAAAAACAACGCTGCACTTCACAAAGTACAAATCCTGTAACTCATGACAAAACACTGGAGACGAGCAGTTGTGAAACAGGTGTGGCTCCTCACACAGCCTTTACTGCCTGGCTGTGTGAGACAAGGAGAGTGCTGAATGTCTGGGTGGAGGGTCATGAGGTTTAAAGGTATGCTTTCATAGCTACAACTTCTTGCAAGGCTTAATGCAGTAAAGAGGGTGGGATACAGACAGGAATTAGGCATTACCATCAAACAGAGGCTTCTGATGACTTGTCAAAAATATATACCTTTGCAGTTACGTAAACAGGTACTAGGCATGTATTGTAAAAGCAAGGAATAATTAATTTGCAGATACAAAAAATTCTCACAAAATCTAGCTGCCAGGAATTTACCAAGACTGCTTTCTAAGAAGCAGGATGGAAACTGAATTCATGTTGCCATTAGGCCTTTGCATAGGGAGAGGTTAATGGAAGGGGTGAATGAGTTTCTAAGAGCATCTTCAGTTTCACCTGGTAGCGAGGTGATGATTTTCACTTGCACCTGCCTGTAGAAAGGCAGTCCAACTCAACACTTATAGAATTTAGAATCATGGCTGGAGAAAAACAAACTTTCCAGGGCTTTCTTAATAATAATAAAGCTGTTGCTATAATCTGAAATGGAAAAAAAAAATCACAGCAATGTTGTATTTTGTGAGAACACCTCAACAGATTGCACAGGGAAAGGAGGAGGCAGGAGAGATGCACACTCCCCCAGATGGAGAAACCTGCACTTGGCCAGAGCACTATTTCCTGAGTGTGACATGTTTGTTGCTGTGCCAGAAGACCAATTTAGATTACACTGCTGGGTGAAACAACAGAAAGGTAAGAATCTGAGGTTAGTTTGGATCAGCAAACAGATTTCAAAACATAATTTGAGCTATTATGACTTCTCATGTCCGCAAAACTCAGGAGGAACCATCACGAGAATGGAGTCCAATGACCTTGCTGATCATCAGACTTTTCTAGCAGATGCTAGAAAACCCCATTCTTTTCTCATATGAAAATATTAAGAGAAGTTTTTGTTTACATTCCATTTTGGAAAATACTAGTGGTTTGGAATTTTTCATTTTATCCTAAAACTATAAAGTTTTAAACCTCTAATGGAAATATTTGAAACTCTATCTGGGATTTTAAAACACAGTAGCTTGACTGTCAGCCTAATACATCCTGAGGTATTTACAGCTGAGATGTAAAAACAAAAAAGTTTTAATGACCAATTTCAGAGTCTTTTCTGAAATTGTTCTTATGTTGGCTATATACAGCCCCATGGTGTTCTCATTAAAGGAACTGACTTAACTGAAAATTTTACTTTGAACCAATTTATTTTCTCCTGCTTAAACTTGAAAAATTATTAGTAAAATCTATGAAGTATATGAGTAAAATATTACTTAACTGTTTGAGTTAGAGATTACATAGTTCTCTGTCCCTCAGATTAGGTTGTCCCAAAATCTTTATATCCTATAATCTCAGTAGTGATAAAACCTGCTGCAAATATTCCTTCTCCAGGCTAGTAAAACAACTTGTTTGTAATGCATAAACTGATTCATGCTGAATTATTAAGTCCTAAATAAATGAAATTGAGTGGTTCCTCCTTTCCTGAAGATTAAATGATGCTCTTGTTTGAACAGGTGATTTTACAGCAAAATGAACTGGGAACATGAAGCCTATAATGTTTGCCAATACTGAGTGCTCCTTTTGAATTTCTTGTTCCCCACTTCTCCATATACCTCTCTTAAGGTATAATGATAATGAGAAATGAGTTTGACTTGTTTTGAAGTATGTGCACAAGACAGAGCTGACCTGTAGAATTCTGTGAGCTAGGTGTCTGAAATGTCTCTCCACTAACTGCAGCACAAGAGCACTTCTAGGAGTGACAGAAATTACTGGAATGTGAATTCCTGTGACCTGAATTCTATCAAGTTGTTAAAATTGTGTATCTCAGCACATGACATTAAAAAAAAAAAAAGAAAATAGGAAATCTGTTGAGGCCAACAGATCTGGTTTTCCCCTAACTCCAGAGCTTGGGCAACTCACCACATTAACTCTATTTGTCATCTTGCAAAAAAACCTTATTGTGTTCTTTCATTTTCTGTGAAATGAAACGATAGAATTGTGCCTCTCACAACTTCCAATTCAAAGGGGGAAATTAACAGAGGTGAAATCTGGAGCAAATGAACATGAAAAAAATACTGAAACATCTGCATTTGTTTAGATTTATAGTTGTATTTGTATTGATAAATACTCAGAGTATTTATTTGTACAAATAATAGAAGGTGTAGTATTAGGAATAATGTATATTATGGAAGTACCTATGAAACTACTTGGAAATCTATATTAGCTTCTCACAGTTAACATACAGTACAATAAAACCTTGCAAAACTGGATCAATGCAAAGCAGCAATTAAGATACAGGTTCGAGGGGAATCTGGAGGCATTCACTTAATGTCAAATGACTGGTTTGGCATAGAGAGTTTTTTTTCACCATGCTACACTTAACTGCATTTATACCCTACAGAAAAAAAAAATACAAACAGCAAAAATCCCAAAGTTCCAGAATCAAAAGGACCTGAATTGATAATATACACCATCAGACCCAGACAAACCAAGGAATGTGTATTTGCTGCCAGTGAGGTTTTCAGTACATCACTATGTTTCTGGTCTGTTACTATATTTTCTACCATATAAAATATGAAAATTCTTGGGCTCTATCTAGTGTTAGATATTTGAAAGTTATTGAAAACTAGCCAATATTCTCTTTCTGTTATTAAGCAGAAATAAGAGCACCTTGCTTTATGCTGGTATGTGTATTTTTGAGAAACTTGAAGTAGTGCTGAGCTATAATGTAATTTTATTTTAAACTTAAAAATGCATATTTTATTATTCCAGTCAGAAGATACCTTATGATTTTCACTTCCTTCTATTAACGACCACAATTTTGATGCAACAGAATACAGAAACTATGTCTTGGCCAATTTTTCCTTCTAAGATACAGCTGTACAGTAGGTAAGTACCTTGATAACAGTTTTGGTGGGCATTGGTTCAGTAATGCTATTTCCGTAGTTAATTAAAAAACAAAACAAAACAAAACAAAGGAAGAAGAAATAAAGAAAATTGTTCAAGTCAGTGTGGTTTGATTGAATATTCTGTTGGTCCCATACTGAACAGGCAGTGCAGACAGCTTAACAGCTTGGAGAGAGTTGACAATAGAATGCCTCCAAGATTCCAGCCACCTTGCCATAAAACGTTACCCAGTGTAAATTTGTTTCTTTGTGATTTAGGTTACTCATTTAAGGCATCTTGTTGAGAAATTTTTCTCAGAATTTTATCTAGCATGAAACAAACCAACAAACAAGTTTATCAATGTCACAGAGATTTTTGCAATTGGAAGTTGGCTTTGGAGCATCTTCAGAAGTGAGAAGACAACTTGCTACCATAGGCAGAGGGCAGCTTGAAGAAAGACAAGATTCCTGTCTGGAGGTTCCCCAACACAGGTATATAATCAGGAAAATGAGCAATGGAAGAGTCCAGTACTACATTCCAGTATTAGGCTGGTTTCTGTATTGTTTGCTTGTTTTTTATTTTTTCCCCAGTGTGTGAAAGAACCTAACAAAAAGCTTCTGAGTGCAATTATATTTACAGAGTAAGGCTGTGGTTAGGGTGTGTCTTCATTGTAATTATTGTGTAACATAAATATCCATCCCTGAGAAAGGAGAAGGGGGACATAAATCCAACACAGTTGATTTTTAAGTGTATGTATGCTCATATTGTGCAATCCAGTTTTACAAACTACTTCAACACCTGAGGTGAATTAAGCAGATTTTTTCCTTTTTTAAAGATTTTTTTCATTTTCTTATAAAGAATAATGAAGAGGATCCATATATGGTTGCAAAATATATGAAATATGGAGACAGCAGGAGTCGCTATGTGTAACATGTAAGTTTGTCTGTCCATGAGGTTAGAATAGCCACTTGTATGGTTGGGTAAAGAAAATCTGACTAAAAATTGCAGTGGGAGGCAGCTATTTACTGATTTTTAAAAAAGAAAGGGTGGGAACTGAAGGAGGGGAAGCAACAGAGTTTTTTAAATGTGTGCAACACCAACAAAACTCCACGTTAGGCATTAGAGGCAAAGTGCTGACATCCAGTGCAGGTAGGCTATGGGGAGCTGGCGGGGCTGATCGTGGGGCTGGAGGCGTCCGAGCGGCTGTAGTCACTGACAGAGCCTGTCCTGGAGCCGCTGCCGCTCCGCCTCTTCAGCATGCTGGGGTGGAAGTTGGCGTGACGCCGGGCGTGCTTGGTCAGGTGGTCGCTGCGCATGAAGCGTTTCTCACACAGCGGGCAGCTGAACTTCTTCTCCCCGGTGTGAGTGCGGTAGTGCCGGGCCAGCTCGTCCGAGCGAGCGAACTTCTTGTTACAGCCCTGCCAGCTGCATTCAAAAGGCCGCTCACCTGCAGAGAGCAAACACGCACGGTTAGACGGGAGAGCAGTGTCTTCCATAGGCTATTTTTTTGTATGCAGAATATAGAATAAAAAGATTGGAAGCCGGGTGAATGTCACTTGGCACTAAGTGGATGGAGGTGTTATCCTCTGCCAGAGCAGGCTGCTGTGGTATTCCAGCCCATTTAAAAATGCTGTCAGACCAGTCATATACCTTGTTTGATAACTGGGTCTTCAGGGATGCTGGGCTCCTGATCCTTTCATGGATATCTCATATCTCTTGTGGTCTGCTGAACTTTATGACTTAATAAAGCTGTACTCAGCTTTATAGTATATTCACTTATTCCTCCAAGCTGTCCCTATGTGTCTGACCAAGTGCTGAAGTTAAGAAGGCATGATGAGGTCTTCTCCAGCTATTTTAAAAGTTATGGTAAAAATGGAAAATGGCAAATTTGAGGCAGTGGATGTGATGTATTCTCCACAGATGTGCCTGTGGTTTCTGCATTTGCTACAAAGTACTGCAGTTTCCCTTGTTAACTGCCTTGGGTCTCACTCAAGTGAGGTGGGGGTGCTGTATTCCAGTAGGGGACAGGTGTCACCTTGAGGGTACCAGCCTTTTTGAATAGCTAACATGAACCTCATAAGCTGTGGCACTTAAGCTTGGAGCAAAGAGCAGTGAGCTCACAGAAGGAGCCATCTGGTGACCCGGTGCAGCTCTGAACAGATCTCAGCCGTGGGACAGATGCCTGGCGCTGCTTTAGGGCCATGCACTGTGGTAGATGTGCAGTCTAGGAAGCTCTGCAGAGGCTGCAGACAGAATTAGCATTGTTGTTGGGTAGATGGGTATCTGGAATCTATTCCCAGCTTCATCACTGATGTGCTGCATATGAGGAAGAACCTCATGCTTCCATCCTTAATTTCTCCATTTCATAAAAATGAAAACGTTGAATCATGAAATTTACTGTCTACTACTTCTGCTTATTGGTTTGATTCTTACTGTCACTGAATCTGAACATCACATGTTCTTTAATTGTTATTAATTGAGAACATCTCATTCTTTTGTGAATACCTAAATACATAGACTTAGCATTTTTGGTAGTTGTAATTTTAGTAACTTCCTACTTGCACTACTCCTAATGTTTCTAATTCTGAATAGCCTGTTCCAGAGTCCCAGAGAGCCACAAAAATTCTAGACAAAAATAAGAAATAGAAGTTCTCTCCACAGTACACTGAATAGGAAATAAAGAAAGAAAATCGCCTCCTGGAGAAACTCAATACACCTTAATTAAAACTGTCTGAGATAAAAACTGACCCCAGCAAATCTTCAATCTAAGCAGCCGATAATCTGCTTAAAATTCACAGATTTGGCAATAACATTTATCTCCAGAATCTGCTCAGGAGGCTCCTGCTCAGAAAAATAGTTCTGTAGGTTCCTTTTCTCTCTGTTCATGAGGCCTCCAAGACACTTCAGACAAATCTCAGGGTCTCAATGAACAGACAAGCAAGTCCTTTTAAAATAGGATTTTGTTCAATAATCTGGAGAAAACAAGTTTCCCCAATGTTTCCTTGATTATTTAGGAAGAAGACCATAGGTCATTAAAACAAATTGCTCTTAAGCACATTTGGTGGATTTCATTACACCTACAACCACAATGCATAATGCAGTGGTTGCATTTGTGCAGTACACACAGATGTTGTATGGAGAACTGTGACCACCCTGCCTAGGGACTGCATAAGGCACCAAAGATGAACAGAACTGTGGCTTCCCCTGACGTACAGCCTAAAAATCTCAGGGTTACACAGATGAATTTAAGAATAAAATCACAATCAACTGGATTTAAAGGATATAATCTTGTTGTATAAAATAACCCATGCAAATCCATTCAGTGTCCTCCTTAGCCTTATTCTGCCTGCAAACTGTCAGGGACTGAACTCTCCATCTCTGCTAGAAACAGGAAACAAAAGTATTCTGGCTGTTTGTCATATATCCAGTTGTGTTCTTAGATATGTTCCTCCCTGTGGTGGGACATGCCTGGGGTGTGACAGCCCTGTTGTGTGACCACATTCACTGGTCTTGTCCCTATGTTTTGGTCATAGTAGAGATATACATCTAAGAGGACTTTAGAACCCCTGGGAAGAAGGGCAGTGAGGCATGGTCTTGGGGTAGATGTGGCCTGCAGAATCAGAGTTCCTCACCCCTGAGCTATGGCATCAGTTTTTGCTAAGACAATGGTCTTTGGAGCTTTCTATTGTCTGAGTTAACATTTCTGTTTATTTTCATTACAAATGGTATCAGCAAATGTTCTTCACTTGAAGAACTGTCCCATGAAGTGAGTGCTTTCAGACAAGGAAAGCAAAAGTTTTCATGCAATGTTTTGCATTGCTGTTGACACCAGCATGAAGCAGAGGGAAAATGGCACCTTCTGTTCTCATCAGTTTAATGGCACCAGCTGCTCCTGTCCATGATTCTAGCATTTGGGAGCCACCAGTAGGCACAACATTCCAGTTCCTAAAGAGGGACATGCTTCTGAAGCAGGATTGTGTAAGTTCAGTGTTATCCAGCACTAGCAGGTGATGAAGGTATTGCACAACTCATCTCCCCTTCTCCTCACTGCACATCAAGTCTGGATGAGAACATTCAGGTTCCCACTCATCTGTCTGATTTGATGTTGATGGTGGTGAGGATTTGGGTGCTGAGCCAAAAAATGTGGTATTTCTTCCACTATATTTCTACAAATCCTGTACTTCTCCTTCCTAGGGACTATTTCCCCCCTCAGTGCTCTCTAGTCTTCATTTTATATCTTCTTGGTACTTGGTTTTAAGTTTCTTGGCCAAGTGATTTTCCACTGACAGCTGGCATCACTCCAGTAGTGCTAACAGTTCTTTAGAGTACTTCCCAGCTTTGTTGAGGTTTAGCAATTTCTCTTCAAAGAAGAAGTGTATTGTGAGGAAATGCTGGGTGCCTTGTGTGAAGATATAAGAGTCATTTTTATTGTTCATAAAAAATTAGTACACAGTCTGGAACAAAGTTGCTGGGGGGTATTAATTAAGGCAAGACCCAGCTGCTGCTCCAAAACCACACATGGAAATTCACAATCTGTCATCATTCTCATCTCTCAAGCAGAAGGGATGTGGTTTTCTGTGCAGGTAAGTTACATAAATGTCCTTTTACCAGCAGTAAAGCAATCAACAGAATGAGAGATTATATGAATTGATTGCTTAATCTCATTAGGGAACATGCAGCCACAGTACAACGTTCCTACATAAGCAATAACCCATGGACATGTTGTACTCAATAGAGAGCTTTCACCATTAAAATGGCTGTAACATGACACAATAAGAATTCTTTCAGCTCCATTTCAGGCAATGTTGAAGTCAGAATTTTACCTTTATACACCCACTGAAGAATTTGATCTTATAGATAATTGTAGAAGTGTTTTCAAGTATCTTAGATATGGCAGGAACACATCAAGCATGTGAATATGTATACTGAGAGTCTTAATGCTGTGCCTTGGCAGCAGCAGTTCTTTGTGCATTATGAGCCTTACGAACAGGTCTCCAAGAGTCCTAAGTTTCCAAAAGATAAAGGTGCTTGAAAATAAATTAATCAAAATGCAACTCTGCCTTCTTTATCTTTGGAGAGGCAGGCAAAAGATGCATTTAAAAGATAACGAATACTGTAATTGTTTTTTTACCATTTAAAATAGGTTTGAATATTCATGTTCCAAATTTTACTAAATGGTAACCCTCCTAGCTCCTTTGCCAGGGCACATGGCATCTAACTTGTGTTTAAGTTACACAAACTGATGGAAAAACATCACATTGGAGAATTAGATTCTGCTGATCTCAACTGAAAATTACACAAGCAAGAACATTTTTGGCTTTTTCCTGACCTTCATCCAGTAAAAAAAAAAAAAAGCAGGTAGTGTAAAGGCACATTAAGAAACTTAAGTGCTCACCAAGTGAAAGTACGTGAGCTCTGCAGGTGCACAGAGTTCTGAATTCCTTTCAGGGGCACAGGCCTTGCTGCTCATTGTCTGGCAGAGCAGCCTGCCAAAGGAAACCCAGAGTTGCCTGGGCTAAAGAAACGGCATTAAAAAAAATGCACCTCTATCCTCTCTTGCTGGAAAGGATTCGGAAGTAACTACAGCCAGCCTGTTCTTATGATATTACATAAAGGTCCTTTGTATTATTCTGTATTTCTCAACCATTGTATAGTGAGGCAACTGTACGTAGTTATGGGAAACAAAATCTAAAGAGATGGTGGCATCAGATCTGATGTCTACTGAGCTTGATTTGTACAATCCTTTTAGTGCACATATAGTTTTAAGGACTCTTTTCCTATATAGAGAGCCTCCTGTACAGACCCTGGAGTAATCTGTTTTCTGCTTCACCAATTCATCTGTCTGATATCCAGCATGTGAATATCAATTTAAAAAGACAGCAAGTACTGCCTAAGCATACTTTAAAAATAACCTACTACTGACTGAAATGCCCAAACAGTTTGAGACAACTATGAAGCTAACAATTTTCCAACTCATAATGCAAAGATTAGGCAATTGTATGTGAAGAATTTGAAGTGTGCTATCCACTGTCCTACAGATTACAGTATTATCAAGTCGAACCACATACTGGGGGCTATTTTTTTCAATTTACCTCATGTAATAGCTCTGCACATTATGTTAGCATGTTCAAGCACATGTCAAGGCCATGCAGTAACAAAGAAATCTGTATCCTGGGAATTCAATGAGTGTCTGCAAAACCAGAAACAGTAAACCAGAAACAATTTTCTGTGATCTTTAATCTGTTCTGCTGCTTTCCAGAACAGGGTTGAATGTTGTTATAAAAACAGACTAGAAGCCTGAACATGCCACTGGATGCTATTCTTATATTTCTACATTTTCATATACATAATTAGGACTATATTTAGAAACACAGATCAGCAGGCTGGGTGGGGAGGATGAGGGGCAGACAGTTAAGAGATGTGACTGAAGAGGCTTTCCTCCAGGAG